GGGGTAAGGGGGGGGGGGGGTAGAACAATGTTGGATTGTAGAAGGCATCCTTTAGTAGTTTTTAAGGCTTCATTTGCCTTAGTTGGATTTTGTGCACAAAGTTTTCTCATCATTACAAATATTTCAGAGGTGATGGGTACTGCCAATTTATTTGAAGGGTCAATATAGTGGGAGGGGAGAGGAGAAATAGAGTTCTAAGTAGGTAGTTCTCTTAGAGAGAGAAACTCTCTTTCTCCTTCAGCAAATCTGAGGCTATCACATGTAGATTTGACTCTAGTCGTGGAACCCATGATATGATCCTTAGGGAAGATGGATGGTATCATTTTTGGATTGGGCGAGTATATTAAACTTACCTCTATTAGCAATTTCCACTTTCCATTAGAACATATGCTCTTTTAGAGAGGAGCGTGTTTGGTTTTGGTATGTGGGTTTCATGTGGCCATTCTTAGTGTTGGGTTTAGGCACGTGCCCAGGTTGTAGGTTAAATGCCTTAACCTTAAATGGGTTTAAAACTCGGTCAAGGTTTGTTTGACCATCCCATTCTCGACCCAAGTCCTTTGGCCCATCTAGGCTCAAAATCTTGGCCCCATTGTCTTTTCGTTGGTCCTGGGCTCTTTGGCTCGTTAGGGTTTCAGCCCTGGCCTCACTTTCCCCCAAGTCCCCAAGGACGACAAATTTACCTGTCGCCAATGATACATGAATGTTTTCCCTTCCACTTGCCTTCTCAACCGTGTGTTATTCTTTTGGTGGATAGTATGCTCTTGCTTTCCTTCTGGTCCATCTTAGGAACTCCACTGTTATCCAATCGTTGCCTCCCTTTGGTTGTGGTTCCGCCGTAGATGATTTCGGCTTCTCAGATGGTTCCAGAGTTTGTGTAGCCGTGCATTTCCCCGTTGTGTGGCCTATCTTCCCACACCTCTTACATAATATTCCCTCCCTCGTATTCAATTTGCTGCATGTGCTCTCCAATTACGACGGAAGTTCTAAGTGGGATGTCTATGGGGAGATGCAAATCCGTGCATATCTGCCTCTGAAAATGTAGATGTGAAAGGATAGACCTTCAATAGTATCCCCACTTTTCTTTCCACTCTTTATAGAATCTCCTTGTCGAAGAACTCGGTGGGTAATTGGGGCAACCTGATCCATATGGAGGTTGATTGGATCTTGGACTTTTTCGGAACAAAATTGGGTTCCCAATTTCGGACCGAGAGGAAATGGCCTATAATGAACAATGGGACTCCATGCAGGACCTTTTCCATATTAACTTTTTCTTGAAACTTCACTATGAAAAAGTACCAGGCCAAGTCAATGATCGTTAGGTGCTCACTGGGCACCATAGTTGTTGTAGCTTTGGTTTGGGTAGATGATGGAGAATTTTCTTCCCAAATACTTTGATGATCACTGAGAATCTCCAAGAGTTGTAGATTCTCATTTTTTGGTCATGGGTTAGGAAGGTTTCCTCAGTGTTTTCTTCTTCCAATGGAGCTTTTAGAGCTACCTCCACTTGGTGGTAACTTGGGTGCTAGACGCTTGACTTTGTCAAGTGGTTGTCCGCTAGGACTTCTTTGAAGCAGTTCTTCATTGAAGAAGCTTCTATATCCATTGGTGCTACTGTGGGATCCAGTGTGTAGGACGATTTTCGTAGTGGTGAGGGGAGTGGGTCCAGTACAGGGGTGGGGGTGGGACCATATTAGGAGGATATAATAATTAAAGAGAGAAGTCAGAGCCTCTCTCACCTATCTCTCCTATACTTCTACACTTTTTTAAGTAGCTCTAGTTTGACTCTTCCTATATCTTAAACTATTGTCAATAGTAAATTAAAGAGAAAATGATCAAAATGATCCTTAATGTATGAAGATTGGACTACTTAGGTCCTTGATATATGCCACCTAAATTTGATAAGGAGAATTACTTGTTATTGTAGGCCAATTAAACTTGATAGAATAAAAATTATTTACGTGCCAACGTACAAATATAAACCCATATACTAATATACCATTTTTTATAGGTTATTGCCGGTACATTCAAAGAAAACACGCAAAGGAAATATCAAGAAGAGCAATCTGAACCTCAAGGGATGAGTTTGAACCATCCCCAAGAAGAAAACTCTGAACCATTGCCTCCTTTGAAATTGGAGAAAGAATGATCATGTTAGCTTCTGAGCAGAAGCGTATTCAGGATTGAAATTTAATGGCTTCAACTTTGCACAAAATTGATTATACCGTTAAAATTATGGGTTCAAATATAATATTTATTGAGATTTTAGTAAGTTTTTACATACATATCTAGCTATACTTCGTGTCCAAAGTTATGGGTTCAAATGAACCTGCAGCCAAAAGGCTACATTCGTTCCTGCTTCCGAGATAGCACGATGAAGAATTCTAATGATTTTGGGGATGTCTTCATCACTCTTCTAATTCTTTCTTTCTGAAGAAACATTCATTTGGTAATTTGTTTGAGCCATTTTTCCTAGGTATTATAAGTCAAGAATGCTCTTATTTGAATTGATTTTTTTTGGTAGCTATGATCCATTTCTAAGTAATCAACACTCAAAAGAGTGGTAACTTGCTTTAAGACAGTGGAATATGAGCTACGGACAATATCCACCAAGTCAAACTGTATATGATACAGGTTCAAATTATATTCAAGAATGTGTTTGTGCTCAATTTATATTATATATTTCTTTTCTACATTATAACGTATACGTAGGCAGCAAGATGTCCTACGACTAGTTATAATTTGAATAGAAGAAAATGATACTATCATAGGACTAGTTCATTTGCTTAGACATTTGCGAATAATCGATATGTTTTGGCATCAAGACTAATTTGTCTGACTGCAGCAACAGCAGCTATGACTCCTAAGACTGAAAAAACAAGGGCTATTGCCATGTTAAACCAGAAAATAGGTCTTCTCTTTGATGGTTTGAATGTCAAGTTGTAGAAGATAACAGGCAACACAAAGTCAAGAGGCAAGAAACCAAATGCTCCAATCACTGCATTTATATCTCCAAAGAATGGAAGCATTGCTGCTATTGTAGTCGATATGATTACTGAAACTGATCGAGATATTAGTCTTGGAATTATATTTCTGGTAGAAAATTCACTGCTCTTTGGATCAGCAAATGTTCTCTCTAGTACTTCATTTGTTGGCTGCAAATACACCTGCAGCAAATAAACCATACCATGACACCAAGTATTAAAGTGAAATCCTTTATTTCGGATTTAGAAGGGGAGCCTTGGCGTAACTGGTAAAGTTGTTGTCATGTGACCAGGAGGTCACGAGTTTAATCCGTGGAAACAACCTCTTGCAGAAATGCAGGGTAAGGTTGCGCATAGTAGACCCGTGTGATCTGGCCCTTTCCCGGACTCGGCGCATAGCGGGAGCTTAGTGCACCGGGCTGCCCTTTATTTCGGATTTAATTTAACTTTTATCTACTAAGGGATCATAAAAGAACTTTTATATTCTTAAGTCACCTATAGATAATAACAAGTACTTGTTACAAAAAAAATGGAATTAATAGTCTTAAAAATAAGGCAGGTTTTGTGCGTCACAATAGATAGCGCAATATTCTTTACATATATAAGCTAAATCCTCAACTTCTATATACTTACAATGTAAAATTTTCTTATACTATCATTATAAATTATCCTGTTAAAGCAGTTATAATATGCCTTAAGTTTTAGGAAACTAAGGGCTTTTAACACTTTGACCCTTTGGCCAAAATATTTACAACCGCTAGCCAATATACATATATTATACACTAATATATACATTCGCCCGCTATTTATGTTGGGTGGGAAACTATTTAATAGCATGTTTGACCAAATTTTTAAAATTTGCTTATTTTGAAAAACGCTTTTCTCAAAAGTACTTTTCAAAAAAGTATTTTTGGTGAGAAGTAATTTGTGTTTGGCTAATTAATTTGAAAAGCATTTTGAGCAACAATTAGTATTTGGCCAAGCTTTTAAAAAGTACTTCTAAGCGTATTTTTCTCAAAAGTGGTTTTCAAAAAAGTGTTTTTGGAGAGAATCTATTTTTCTCTGATTCTTCAAAAATACTTCTGCTTCTACTCAAAAGTATTTTTTTTCCTTCAAAAAGCTTGGTCAAACACCTTAATTTTGGCAAAAAAACCTTTGACTACCACTTATTACGAGTGAATTACCTATAATTATATTTTAAATGACCTAATAAAATAAATATTATTTTATACTGTAAATATATAAAAGTTAAATTCTTTTCTTTTAGGGGCATGGAGAGGTGAAAGTATTTTTTTCTTTTTCAGAATGCATAGAGAATGTACATACCACAGCAACAGCGGACAATTGGAGAATGGTGAAAATGTTAGTGATGAAGATAAATGACTTTGGGACAAGATTCTGGCCATTATGTGTAAAGTTGCTGAGAATGAGGCCCTCAGCTTTGTTCCCAAATGCCCAATATCCAGAAATGGCTACACTGAAAAAAGTTGTTGATAGCATGGCGTAACAAATGCATAGCCCTTTAAACATCTTCCCTTTCACCGGCGGCGCTATTGTTGCCTGTAATCACATTGCAACGTATAATACTTTTCGTATAATTTTTAAATATTTGAATTTCTCGAATATCTTAATATTTATTCTTGTATCAACTAACCTGAATTTCAGGAATTATGCCATTTCCAAATGTGGTGGCAATAATAGCAATTGCATTAAAAATGCCAAAAATGCGCGTTTCCTTATCGCTATTGATCGAATAGTCTTTCTCTGGTCCCTTAGATGAATTTCCTGGGAAATATATTAGGAGTTGTTACATAATTATTGCAAAAATAAGTGTTGGTAAAAATAAATGTATAAGCCTTTGCAATAGAAATAAAATACCTATGTAAATGGAACCAGCTGTGGCACAAGCACTATAGGCAAGGCAAAGTAGCAGAGAAATCAAGTTGATATGCCTAAGTGAGTGAAAAGATGGCATTTGAGCTAAGACCAACATTAGGCCTCCAAATATGACTACAAATTCATATAGCTTCATAGTCCCACTTGGGTTTAACAACAAATATATTGCCTGCCAAAAGAAAAAAAGAGAAAGATAAAGAGTTACTTATAAGAAAATTATTGCTATTCTTTATGTGGAATCAGGAGGTTACGGGTTTAAGCCGTGGAAACAGTCTCTTGCAAAAATGTAGGGTAAGGTTGCATACAATAGACCTTTATAGTCCGAACCTTCCTCGGACCCCGCGTATAGCGGGAGCTTAGTGCACCGAGCTGCTCTTTTTGCCCTCTTTATGGGATTTATGTTATATCCACTGATAATATAAAGATTATTGTATCATCAGTATGTAACTTGTACCGATAAAACCGACATATATAAATCGAACCTATAAAAAACCTAGTTAATTGGTTTAGTTTGGTTCTAATATTTGAATAACCGATTTAAATGATTTGATTTTTTAAAAGGAAAACAGATCCAAACCGAACCATGAACGCCCCTTTGTGTAAATACTTTTTATACCGTCAGTGCCTAAAAATTAAACCTCCATCCTTGTGATAATTACTTAATTTAGTATCCTCCCAAAAGTTGGCTTAGTTTTGGTTCAAGAACTTACTTTCATACATTGTCCTCCCAGAAGAGTGGAACCTATGACAGCACCATAGCATACCATAAATTGAATTGGTCCCACATAATATTTGCCCCACCTTGGTCCTGTAATATTTCATCGCTATTGGGTAAATCCAGATAATTACCAGTAAATAAATACGTAAGAGCTTTCAAGAAAATGTACTGGTTTCATACAGGTATGCGAAGTTGGAATTGAAAAAGAATACTACACCGTTTATCTTAGTCCAAAAAGAATATTTTTTACTGACATATAAATATCTGACAGTAATAAAAGACTTTAAAAAGTCATTAGATGTAATTAAAGTAAACATACTAATATAACTAAACTTAATCTTATCAATTGATATCGCCTATATTATAACTTTTTTTGTTCTTCAATTGAAGCAATTTATTAAGGACGAACACTTCAACTTTATCTGCAAATTTTCTCGTTGGTGGTCAAAGAGAAATTATTAAATTGGAAATATAATGTTCCAACACTTCGTGATCACTAATTTCATTAGAAAATTCTACAATCAAGTAGCAGTTATGGGCCCAAAGATAAGACATGAAAGGAAGAAAAAGAAAAGTCGATTTGGCCAACGGAAAGTGATTGTGCTAAATACAGGTGGGGGCTAAATTCTGTTAAGAAAATCAACTCACGAGTCTTATTCGGATTACATATTTAAAGCAACAAATTTCAATATAAAAATTATTCAAAACTATATAACGAGACAACAAACGGAGGAAAGAGGTATAAGAAGACTGATTCACTCGCTTTCGAGAATTAAAATTTGCAGGTTATTCTCCGTCTAGTTTGACTTATGGTAACTTATTATAAATCCTTTTTTTAATGATCACAAAAGCTTATAGCTCATGAAGATTAATACTCCTTGTTAAGCATGACTCTTCAAACTTGGTGGCTGCTCAAAATTAAAGGAAATCTCAAAAAGGAAAGAAAACGAAAAAGAGAAACACAAAGCAAAGAAGAAAAGATGCAGGCAACTCAAAACGTTGCAATATTGGATACATCAAATGTGAAAACACATTTGATCACTTACAATAAATTTTGGAAACAACTTTTTTCATATAGAATAATCCTACTTGTATATCAATATTTCTTTTGTGCAAATCTTCAAATACTATAAAAAATTATTAAATTTTACTGTAGCAATAACTCAATTTCTTAATCACACACCAACGACTCGCAAGTCGCAATGACCCCATTCTGGTTCCTTTAATGTACATCACATCACATCACATAAATATGAAACAAACATACAAATTTCTACTTTTTCTTTTCTACATTTATCATATTATATGTTTATGTATTGTGGTAGGTTACTTATTTTTAGGTTAATATTCTGCATTTACTATATAAAATAGTTAAGTAACTGAATTTTAGATTTAAAAGTTTTATACGTCGAATATCAAAGTTTAAGGTGTAAACGTCGTTACATACCTAAAATGTCGTTGGCCATGTCGCGGAACCGGAGATGGCGGCGGCCGAGCTGAGCGTGGTGTTCGAGAACCCTAGACAAGAGGTTATATGAGTAAAATGTGACCAGAGCTCCGATGACAAGACACAGGATACCGCCCCACCATCCAAGTGAAACAAAGGCAAAAGGAAGACTTAACAAAGGAGGAGCTACTATTGAAGTTGTCAAGTGGTAACCACAATGCACCCATGATCCTGCAACAAAATTAAAACCTTAATTCCCGTTTAATAGGAAACTCACTTCAAAACTAAATATTGGCGCTACACATAAAAATGGCGGTCCGATGCACTAAGCTCCCGCTATGTGCGAGGTTCAGGAAAGGGTTGGACCACAAGGGTCTATCGTACGCAGCTGAGGCAGATCCAGGATTTAAATCCTATGGGTTCAACTTTAAAGGTTTTTTTTTGCATTGAATTCATTATATTTTTAAAGTTTTGGGTTCATATCTATATTTTTTTTTGCAATTTTAATGAATTTTTACATATAAATTCTTACTCCGCGTCAAAAATTATGGGTTCATTGAACCCACCGACAGAACACTATATTCGCCCTGTACGCACCTTTAACCTGCATTTCTGTAAGAGGATGTTTGTGATGTTTCCTTAAGATGTATAACTTGGTCAGACAGTCAACAATATTGACGATTAGCTTAGCTAAGTCTGACGATCGAATTTTTTTAATTCAGTTGTGGTAGTAGGTGAAGTTTATTAGAGTTGTCCCACTTTAATAGTATTTGAATTTTCTAACAAATAAATTAGAGGAAAAAATCTAATGGACTAGTTGTGGCAAGAACCCTAGCCAACTCGAATCAAGCTGGTCAAGAATAAACTATGAAGTACTTCTGCTGAGATTCTCAAGTACCTAGATAGAACTAAACTATTTATTTTTTAAACTATAAATTTCTTGGTATAACTAAAGGTCATGAATCAAGTTTTATAAATTATATTCTTGCTTTTTTTATATAATAAGTTCATCTATTTTGTGTATCACAATTTTTTTTGTCAAGTATATATATGGAGGTAATGACGGGGCCAGAAATTCTTACAAGAGAAGTCAAAATACTAATAATATAATATGCATCACTTGAGATTTGAACGTGTACTTCTCTTATTTTAAGGGGATTCAAATATTTAAATATTCTTAAAAAGTTTGTTTAGATCATATTTATACAGTATAAATTTTCAGACGACGGGAATTCAAATGCCACATCCATTAGAATTTTAAGAAAAAACATCAATTGAGTAGGTATTATATGGCAGCAATAGTAAGTGCGTGGCTCAACAACATCATATCCTATCAATTAACATATCATGTCATAGAACAAGACATATTTGGTTATATAAGACCATCCTTATTATATTTCTTTGTCTCTGACCATCAAAATTTAAAGCTTTAGCACATTAATGATTGATAGTAGTTGAGGACTACAGTAAGTATATGGAATCAGAGAAACGGCCAAAAGAAACCCCACCATAAAACAAGAAAGTTTGAAACTATGGCTTAAATTGTTTCTTGTTCCAATTATAATATGACATTAATTACAATAGTGTTTAAAGAATCTTTTAGTTATGTGATGACTTTTCTATTAATTGAAAAGTACTATGTTCAGCTTGTTTGAAGGATAGGTTGGAAATAGACATAGAATTGAAGACAGTAAACTTAAAAAAAAGTTTGAGTCAAAGCGATACAACTACAAAAATAAAAAGGCAGCCCGATACACTAAGCTCCTGCTATGCACAAGGTTCGGGAAAAGCCGGACCACAAGGGTTTATTGTACGCAGCCTTATCCTATATTTCTGTAAGAGGCTGTTTCAATGGCTCAAACCCATGACTTCCTGGTCACATGACAATAACTTTATAAGTTATGCCAAGGTCCCCTATACAACTATTTTTTTTAAAAAAAGAAGAAAAGAAGGAGAATGATAAGGGATGGGAAATAAAGCATTACGATTGGGAAATGTAAGAAAAAAACAAAGAAAGAAAGGGAAAAGATATACATATGAAATATGGAATATATACAGAATATAGATATAAGATATAACCTTTGGATTTAAGAACAAAGAGGGCACCAGCATCAAGCTCTTTTCCATGATCATGTGAAGAAACTCTACTGATCTTAATATCTTTTTCTCCAACCGTTCCCATCTTCTCTCTTTAGCAAATAATATGTGTATATATAATTATATGTACACTACTATTTGTTTATATATATCTTCTCCAAAACACCACCTCTCCCTTCTCTTTTTAACAACACCACCTCTCCCTTCTCTTTTTAATGTTTTTGTTCTTTAAAGGAGTGGAGATGATATGGAGATGATTTAAGAAAATTATGACAGTATGGAAGTTTATATATAGCGGTATCTACTTCCATCTACCCACTTGTTTCTTGATAGCCCAACTGAAAAAGAAAAGGAGTCTAGCTGGAGTTTTTTTAAAATTTTGGTTTCTCATCTGTTGTTCGGTAACTGTTGTTCGGTAACTGCAATGGACGTTGACTAATTCGGATATGCACCTCGTAAATGAATTCCTTTTCATGATTTTTTTATTATCATGCTCGAACTAGAGACCACTAGCTATGGGTGGATGGATCATCTATCCCAGCAAAATTCTTAGTGGGTAGTGTTTGACCAAAAAATGATAATCTTTGGCTAAACTAATTAATCGGTTATTTAAGAGGTTAATCCTAGTTGAATATAATAATTTCAAATCTAAGATAAGCAATGTAGGAGATGTAGGCAGGGATGAAGCAGATTTAATGCACTATACATTAAATGCTTCGAATGCAATAATGTGTTAGAAGTATGAAATATTAAATGACAATAAATGACACCAAATGTAAATAAAGAGGAAAATTCACCCAATATTGAATGAGGTAGATGATTCCTCCCGCTGACAATGATGAGTGACAAGAAACTATAAGAATATTGAAAACTTTCTCGGATCCGGTGGAAATGATAAGGAATAATCCAAAAAGACGAATCTCTTTAGAAAGGTGTTCTTTGTATTTATCTTGAGAGCTTGCTTTTCAAAAGAATTCTTATCACCTAGAACATTACATATATTTTGCCTTATCTCTCATTCCTTTTATATGGGACATCCCCCAAAGTACCCTAAAAGTACAAATACAGAGAATATTCAATGGAATATTCTCTCTGAGGATCCCAATACAAAACTAGCCGCTACTACTGCTCGTAATACTCGACCTCAGCCGTGACTGACTGCTTAGCAACAAGTTCTGTTAATCACTGGTCGGCCTCGGCCAAATTGCTCATGATAGTCACGAATAACTCATGATAATCACCTCTTCGTGCTGAATTTCCTCAGTCGAATTTTGACCTATACAATTAGTCCCTCCGCTTATCGAGGTTGTCTTTTGGCCGACCTCGGTGAGCGGACTTCACTAGTCGTAGTCAAGAAATTCATGTGGGCAGGTCGAATAGTAAAGACCACGGTTGAGATGGTGATGTGGCGTTTTGTAGGCCACACTTATCGTGACGTTGGTTCAGACTGACGTCACAGCATCACGGGTCATTATTATTCATGCATCGCTTCCCGCACCCCGTCGTTTCGATATTTGCATATCAGTGGTTGGTTTTCTCGGTTAAGGTGTCTGTGTTCTCTATAAATAGGGATTGGAAACCCTTGGTATGGTCCTTTATGTTTTTTGGCATTTGAACCTTCATATTTTCCTCTCTTCTTCTTCTTCCTGTACTCTTGCTCCCGTTGCATTCATTTTTTCACCCTTGTTCTCTTTTCTGACTTGACCGATTTCTACTACTCCTACCTCTCTCAAGTTTGTACTTTCTGCACTTACATGCAACTAAGAATGGTCAACGCATCTTCTAGCTCTGCTGAGGCTTCTAACCCAATCCCACTAGCAGTGAGAATGCCTCCTCTTGACGATGGGGCTACCATCGTTGCTGAGGACGAAAGCTTTCCCACTGTAGAGGAAATAATTCCTCGTAATGACAAAGCCAAGTCGGACTTCTCAAAGCTGCCCGCAGACGAGTCTGAACCTGTGGAATCTGAAATGGACACGGTCGCCTTCGCTGAGATTAGGGCCAAGTTTAACATCCCGGCCCACATCGATCGAATCTCGGCTGGTCGCGATACGGTACAGGTTCATCGCACTGGATATTGCGCGTTCTATGCATATCTGTTTTACGTGGGCTATTCTCTTCCTCTTTCTCTGTTGGCGGAAGAATTCTGCCGTTATTATGGCATCTGTCCAGCTCATCTCCCCCTTACATTTATAAACTCTTCTGTATGTTGGTAAAGTATGCGAAACTGGCCAACCGCGGGATCTCTATTTGCTATCTACTGCACCTCTTCGCGCCAAGTTTCTATAGGGGTACGATGTTACACCTTCGCCAGTGTGGGAGCAAAGAATTGGTGGTGAAGATGGACGATAAGGCCAATCGTCGATTTTGGTGCAACTTTTTCTATATCAAGACCGAGCACGTGATGGCAAACCCCGATGGGTTCCCTGAAGTATGGAACTTTGCCCATAAGTACTTTTGCCAATTGTTGTTTCGTTTATCTCGATTTTAGCGTATTTGTTCCTCTTTTTCTTTGTGTAGCCGAGAAAGATCCACCTTCATTGGTTGCAGACATTCATGACTGGGTAAGTCAGGTCTTGCCCTATACGGTGGGGGTCCATGAATGGTCGACGTTCCACAATAAGTTTGGGCGCAAGCCTTCCGTGCCGGTGAGTCATTTATTTTGAACTTAATAACTCGACCTTCATGTTATTTTATTTTCCTTCTATTTTCTTTTATAGTGGAGTTGGCTTAACTTCTGCTGTTATTGTTAAGTCGTAGAGCTTCGAGAAGGGTGAGGGCTCCTACCCCTGCCTTCCGTCAATCGAGCACTATGACGGGGTCTTCACTTGCTGCGACTGCGGGCAAGTCAGTTCAGACGGTCACTTCTTCTCAGACCCTGGTATTGCGTAGACCTAGTCGTCGGTCAGCGGCCCCAACGGCAGAGATTCCAGCTTCTCCCGTGTTACACTTGGTAGATGAGTCATCACCGAGTGAGGAGGAACCGGTTCCACTTAAAAGGAGGAGGGTGAAAGTTGGCGGCGAGATAACTAGAGCCGAGAAATCAACAAAGGGCGACTCTGGGCTAATCGTGGCTGCATCGGAGAGTGAAATGGACTTGCCCACTATGGCTCCGCCACTTACGGAGGTTGTGGGAGATGCTCCTTTGACCGAGGTCATTGTTGAAAAAGGAGGGCTACCTAAGGCTGCAGAGGCCGTGTCGAGGAGCGATCCATCACCCTCAAGACGGGCTAGCGTTCCTTCGTCAGCTGAGGAGAAAGGGAAGAGTATGGCTGTGGACGACTATAAGACCGGTTCTGACGTCGACCCTGAGAAGGTGCGGATGTTTACTAAAGGGTTTACTCGGGTGGAGGTAAGGTTAGCGGGATCCACTCGCACCATAGTCGTCCCCTTGGACCGCGACTTACTGGTGGATACAGAGAACGTGGTTCCCTCTTTGGGTCCTCTGTGCTCTAACGCCGAGGGCATGATATTATAAACGTTCAACAATGCTGCCCTATTGTCGGACATAATTGTAATCTCCTTGAGGGTAAGTTTCCGATCTCTCTAGTTCTCTTGCCTTACATTCTTCTTTCTTTTTATACTGATTTCCTCTTCTGCTTTCTCTTTTTCATTAGACCATCATTTTGGGGATTGAAAGTGCCCACCGATAATAGAAGCGGAAAGCTATTTTCAAGAAAATAGAGAGGAAGTACCATGAGTACCGTGTTAAGCATCGTGAGATCTACAAGCGGTTCAGTGCGGACGACAACTTCCAGGCCCTTTGGGATGAGCTGAAGCAAAAAGACGATGAACTTATGAGAGTCATCGATAGATGCAGCGAGCTCGAGGGGGAACTTAGAGTCAAAAAGGACGAGCTCAAGGTGAGCAAGGGGGTCGAGGCTGAGTGTGCAGACCTTCAAACCCAAGTGGCATCTTTGCGGGCCGAGCTTGAGCAGAGTTCGAATAAAGATAACAATTTGAGTGACGAGGTGATCGAGAAGGTGTTAGAGTTGGAGAAGGCCGAGAAGACCAGGGTGACGGATTTGGTGAAGGTAGTGGCGTTGGAAGATGCCATTCGTGTCCTCCAGTTCGAGCAGATGAATGATGCGGAGATGGTCGCGCTAAGGGAGGCACGGCTTGATGAGCGAATTGGGGGGCTTGAGAAAGATGTTTCAAACCTTAATGATCAGATTGCCGCTCTTGAGGCCGAAAAGGCACAGCTGTTGGCTCAGCCGTCCTCCTCTCACACTTCCACTTATCCCGATGTTTCATAGAATTTGTACGAGAAGTGGATCCATGCCGAAGCCCAGTTAGACATATTCAGGGATTTGATGACGGCGAAGAGAGTTTCTGAGGCTGAGTTTGAGGATGCTCGTGCTAAGGCGCGCGACTCGAGTTGCTTGTGGTTATGATCTAGGTACGCCGAGGGCTGGTGATGGTGATGAGGACTTGGACTGGATTAAGCAAGATGCCTGGTATGGGGATGAATACTCTAACGGCGAGGACGGTGCTATTGAGTAGTTGTGCTTTTTTGTAATTTGTGTTTTACTTTTGTGGGCGTCTATTCAGCCCTTGTAAAGGTTATCTTTTGGAATTGGAATGCTACTTTTGCTATTTGTTTTTGAATCTTCTATTTTCTCTTGGATATTTTCCTCGTTTGGTTGCCTTGATTGGAAAAACTTTGGATTTAGTCGTGACCGTGTTGGTAGACGTTAACTCGAACATGGTCGAGTGTGACTTAATTCGAGCTAGATGGAATGTGATTTTTATTAATTCGAGCAAAGTCGAATGTCACCTTAATTAATTCGAACGAGGTCAAATGTGAGTTAAATTCGAGCAGGGTCGAATGTTACTCTCAGCTAGTTCGAACGAGGTCGAACATGAGTTAATTCAAGCGAGGTCGAATGTTACTCTTAATTGGTTCAAGCGAGGTTGAACATTATTTTGATTGATTCGAACGAGGTCGAATGTGAGTTACATTCGACAGAGGTCGAATGATACTCTTAGTTAGTTTGAATGAGGTCGAACGTGACTTTGATTGATTCGAACGAGGTCGAATGTGAGAACCTCGAGCAAGGTTGAATGTTACTCTTAGTTAGTTTGAGCGAGGTCGAATGTTATTTTGATTGTTTTAAATGAGGTCGAATGTGAGTTAATTCAAGCGAGGTCGAATGTTACTCTTAGTTAGTTTGAACGAGGTCGAACGTAATAGTTATTGATTCGAACGAGGTCGAATGTGAGAAATTCGAGCGAGGTCGAATATTATTTTGATTGATTCGAACGAGGTCGAATGTGAGTTGT